GCACACTCAGTTGTCTTGAAACAGCACTGAAACTGCGAAGGTTAAAAAAATAAGTGCATTTTCAAACAGTTTGAGCCAAAAAGGTGTCTCTAATCATTCTCAAAAGAATAAATACTTGAGTCAAATGTTTGATTAGGAAATTTATTTCAGAGAGTCTTTAAAGCTATAAATAAGTCCAATGAGCTCCGGAATACAAGCATCAGGAATTTACAACATTTTCTGAGTGAACCATGGTAGTTTACCCACCTGTGCCAATGTTTAATAGCTTATCACTGTTGATGCAGTTTAAAGGGAATAAAAGTATGCTTGGAAGGTCTTAATCACTCTGTTTAAAACCGCTTGGAGTCGAAGGCGATGGTATTTATCAGGACCCAGACTCCAAGCGGTCTTAAACTTAAATACCGACCAAGCACATATTTATTCCCATTCATAAATACCTATTCAGTCAAAAAAATCCAAACCTTTTGGTAAAAAAACCTGATTTTGCTCAACAAGTTCACTTCATGTTTTTTTAACACCCCTCTTTAGCTAAATAATGGAGTGTCCAGCTCGCGAGTAAGATGTTAACATCTCCTTTTTTGGAGATAGGCACACGCGTCGCACATACTGCGCGATGTCATGCAAAACGCACCTGGGGCGTTGTGTTGTGAATTTAGGACTATAAAATACTGACTCACTGGTAGCATTGCGCATGCCTACGTGAGGACCAATAAAATGGAAAGAGGCACTGGATTTCATAGGAGCCAAAATTTCAAGTGAGACTGGAAAAGAGTTGAAGACCAGCCAGCCATGTCTTTATCATCCGTTTAAGACCAGCCACATAGCAGCTTCTCGACCAACAGGAATGGATAAACTGCCATAGGTATTTATGAATTGTGGTTTACATGTATTGTACGTGCAGTCTGATGTGCCCACTGGGATAAAATGAAGTACATGATTGTAAAATTGACCATGACATACTGTACCCGAGTAATAACTTTCTGTATTGTGGTCTCTGGATTACGGAAGTGTTGCTGGTAGTGCTTCATAGCCTTGTCCCTCCTGCTGAACCCGTTGTGACAGTGGTAGCAGTGCGAGTGGGCACCCTTGAAGTATTTCTGCTCGTGAATGATGCCGTGGATGATGCAGGATCTACATCACTGCAATATTTTAAGACCTGGGGAGGGATACAGTAGAGGATTGCTTTGGCAATTTTGACAAAAGCTGACAGCTATATGCACTTTGACAAAACATGAACTGTGGATCTTTTTATATGGTTCTCTTGCTGTAACAGGCACAAGTAAGCTATTGACCTGAGTTAGGACTCTTGTTCAGGCAGGCTGGATGTAAAGTTTTTCCTGAGACACAGCCGGCGCTTGGGCATGGCCTGTGACAATTGAGTCTATCAAACACTGGTATCTGCTAAGAATAACCAGCCCAGGTATCTGTCAATTTCATAAAACTTCCACAAATGCCACTATCTTGTCCTGCTGTCCACTGCCTTCAACTTATCTTAATTAACCCTCTGCCACATGCAGCACAGTGCATCAGGTGGAAAAGTCTGGTGCACTTTGCTGCATTTCAGCTATCAACACCAGTGCATTAACAGCCAGTTCTGAAACAATGAGAGCTAATCCCATTGAACAATGCCTCAGTTGTATCCTGCTGCGTTCTAGGACCACAGACTCAGAGGCAATTTGGCCTTCAGACTTTTGACCTGATGGATCTTGCTGCACTCGGCAGGCTTGTCACTTAGACAAGTGTTGCATTCAACTCACATGGACCTTAAAAGTCATCTTGTAGCATGACCTGTGAAGAGAAAGTGAAAAACATTGTCCTTTGGCTTAACCTAAAACATATTTCTTGGGATCCAGTCACATGTATGCAAGCGCTTGGTCTTGTTCCCAAATGCAAACTCACCCCCAAAGTTGATGCCTTTATCCACGTGCTTGACCCTGTAGTGCGCCTTGAGGAGAATCTCATCAGTGAAGAGACTGTCCTGGGAGCAGAATGGACAGTGCAGATGCGGAGCCTTCATCAAGGAGTGGCTACACTCCCTGTCTGTGCATTGTATGGGTGTCCAGTCTGCCTCGGCGCCTTTCATCCGCACTGATGGATGCGCCTACAGTTGCGGAAAAAAAAACATGAGAAAAACTGTCAAGTAAACATGTATGATGTAAAAAAAAAAATTGTGAATGTATAAAACGGCTACTTCAATAAAATCAGTAGAAAATCTCATTTTCTACTCAAATCCAAATCTTCACAGCAGTTTTCAACAAGGACAGCAAGGAGGTTCGGATGCGGTTAGGTATGGGCAGATCCACTCTTCGGCAGTGCAAGTATCTGCGCTCTCCCCGCGTCAGCCTTGAGGTAAAGGTACAGCTTGCTCGGGCCCTAGTCATATCAAGGGTACTGTATGGTGCCACCACCCTGTCGTTGAAGGCAGCTGACGTCATACGCCTAGACAGTTTTGGCCGAACCACCTGCTCAATATCAAGTGGCAAGATCATGTGACAAATGAAAGACTGATGGAGATGATCGTCGACCGGTGGTGCTTCAGCAGTAGCACTGTGATGGAACGAAAGGCAGCATGGTTGTGCCATGTGGTGCGGCATGGCGGCATGGCGGCAGCTGTTGTGGATGGGATGTCAGTGGGATGTCGTCACTCCGTGGGCCGGCCAAAGATGCGCTGGGTGGACAACATCCCTGAATGGTCTGGGTGTGACACCAACGAACTGAAAGCAGCAGCACTGGAAAGACGGGCTGTGGTGGGAGCGGCGCCAGTGATCCCAACTGTGTATAATTTGAGGAGGAGACCACGGGCAAATGCCTATGTCTAATTAATGAATGAGTTTTCAAAGTGGTAGTTCATAAAAACCAGGCATAAAACATTTAACAAAGAAACCACTCGCAGATGGGATCTCTTTTGAGGCGGTGGAAGAGGTTTTAGAAGGCTTTCGTTGGGAGCCAACAGTCACCTCGGAAAGAATGTTGCAACCTGACGCTACTTCAGCGGTTGTGTAAAAAGTCTATGGAGAGTCAAAAAAAAATTCAGTATTTCCTAACAAAATTGGAAATGTTTCTCAGTCCCAGATTCATGTTTTATCATTTTTGCAATGACTGACCTTCATTGAGATGATATATGAGGGAAAAAGCAGCATCAGGTTGCAACATTCTTTCCAACACCTCTGATTCTGAACCAACACAAGGAAGTGATGTAGAATAGTAGGGAGTACTGAGTACTACCCTAGCAGTCACTCCTAGAACTATGATGCTCCGCGTAGCGAAGCCTCATGGACAGAGAACCTCGCAAAATTGTTTGCTACTACAACACACCAACTAAGTACAAAAACGTTCATCAAAACATAGACATTTTCTACAGAACCGCTGCACAATTTGCCCATAAACTCCATACAATACCTCATGACATACGCACATAAGTTGCGCCTAACAAACATCGCTGGATTCTGTCGGTTTTTAGGCCATAATGATGGAAAAATATGCCCTTTCCGCACTGAGCCAACCTGACTCTTGAAACGTGTACGCAGATTTGATCGATTGATGATTTTCTGTTCGCCGCAAGCAAATGATACGCTCATGCGTACAAGTGCAAGTACCGCTCCCCCGCAGCGTGCTCCGAGCGGACCGAAAATCAGTGATCGATCATTATCTTTGTGCACGTTTCTAGTGTCAGGTTGGCTCAGTGCGGAAAGGGCATATTTTTCATCATTTTGGCCTAAAAACCGACAGAATCCACCGATGTTTGTTAGGCGCAACTTACATGAGTATCCTCGACTCACCATAATTGAGGCAGCGGATAGCGCGTGTTGTCCAACGCAAATTGAATGCGAGTGCGTCAAAACATATCCTGGTCGTTTTTGGTGGACTGACGATATGTCATGAGGGATTGTGCTGCAATTAACCATTTTGTGGGGTTCTGTGTCTATGCGGCTCCGCTCACGCGGAGCATCATAGTTCTAGGAGTAACCGAATACCGTAGCAGCAGCCATTCAATATTCATTGTGAAGTGTCCGGAAACTGGACAATTTTACATTTTGCTTTCTTAAAATTACTTTTGCGACGAGGTGTCCAACTAAAGAATATAAACAATTGGTAATCCTTACTTTTAGGACCCCGTTCCTATATAGGAAGGGAAAGACTCCACCAAAACAGCTGACTAAATGACACATAATATGTTTGGCAGCAGATAAATTGACGTCCGAGTACGGAACTTTTCCCAGTTTAAGTTTGTGGAAAGAGGGCAGGGCTTTGATTTTAGAGGGAAATTGAGGGGTAAAAGATGACGATGACAACCAGAAAACAGACTCAAAAACCAAGATGGCAAACGTGAAAGCTCGATGCAATGAAAGCTCGATGCTGATTGGCTGACAAAAAATAAACATCTTAATTATTTTTTTTAGCAGCCAATCAGCATCGGGCTTTCATTATGTAGGGCTTTCACGCGTGTTAGAACTACAACATGCATGTCTGACTGTGAAAAAAGGTAGGAAAGTCACATTTTTTTGAAAGTGCTTTCAAAACCAGAAAAAAGACTGCTTTAGCCTGCAAAAGTCAATTGGTACTGGACAGTCATCTGCAAAAGTCAGTTTTCTTGAACAGAACTTGTAAAAAATAGAGGTGTCCTAAAAGTAAGGATTATTAAACAATTTTCCACAATCTCTTGGGTACCTACCACATAGATAGCCATTTTCAATAACTCCTTTGTCTTGAATAATCACATAAATTCGGGGGGGGGGATTCAAGGGGAAAAACTCTCACCCTCCAGAAAAAAAAGAAAACATGGGTTTAAAGGGTTTCTGAAAATTCGATTCATTCTCAGCTGCGGCTTTGTCTACTATAATTATTTGAAGATTATGAAATTTCCACACAGCTACTCAGAAAGCGTCAGTTGTCAAATAAGAATAGACAAATAGGTATTATTGGACTTCCGTTACGGGAGACGTATGCGTCTCGTTAAAAAAAAGAAGGATGCCAGTTCAGTATATGAACCTGAAGCAGTTGTGAACTGCGATGGAGGCCGATGTTTCGAAAGAGCTTGCATGCCCATCGAACGACACATGAGGGCAGCATTCAACAACATAAACACGCGACTGTACGGCGCTGTCTTCCGAGTGGCCGAAACTGTACCTGTTGTTACCTTTGCCACTTTCTTATTACTGGTACGTCAGTATTACTAATTTTATTTAACCATTTAATAAATGGTAACATTAATTTTGTTGTTTATATTAGCTATTGGTGAAATCTGCATTATTGTATTTAGTGAAACGTACTGCAAGAAGTGGCCATAGACGTACTGCGTGTATTGTATAGCGTGGCATCCATAGCCACGCACGGCGCGCTGTAGCCCCATAAATGCGGCCTATTTACTGGACTGCCTCCGTGAATGTCAGACAAGTCGACCGTTGAGACAAGTCGACCGTTGAGACAACTCGACTCGGGACAACTCGACCGTTGAGACAGCTCGACTTAATGGAAATGTATACACGTGGAGCGGAAAAAGTTGCAAAAATCTGTGGCAGGACCGGTCCCGGGCGCGGCGCGGGAATACTCGATGCACAGAGGGCGATCCGATCTGGTGGCCGTCGCGTTGGGCCGGCGCGCCCTGCCCGCGAGGATCGGGCCCGGCCCGGCACACGAGCATGTCAACCGGCGCGGCAAGTGGGCGCACAGGCCCGGCAAAAACAATCACGCTGTGCTATATCGGCTCTGTAGCAACAAAAAAACCTCATGTGTCATCACTCCCGAACGGCGATCGGCCGCCGTCAAAAATCCCCAAAACTAGGCCCAAAAACATGCGAGGCGACTTGTCTCAACGGTCGACTTGTCTTTCCATTTATCGCACATACGGTCGAGTTGTCTCAACGGTCGAGTTGTCTCAACGGTCGACTTGTCCCAAGTCGAGTTGTCTCAACGGTCGACTTGTCTGACCCCCGCCTCCGTAAACATAGGCCACACATCCACATGTACAAAAATCGTGTCGACTTTGCCAAATTTTGATTTTCACATTTAGGCTTAGTTTGTAGGTTTTGTTTGCTTTAGAAGCATACTCACCCTCTTTATAGGCTAATCAGAAAGTGCTGCCTTTTTCAGATGTATATTTTTCGTGAAATTTCCAGATTCATTTTTACACGTTTGCGTATCAAAATTTCAACATGAAATTTCACAAAAATTAGACATCTGAAAAAGGCAGCACTTTCTGACTAGCCTATAAAGAGGGTGAGTATGCTTCTAAAGCAAAAAAAATCCTACAAACTAAGCCTAAATGTGAAAATCAAAATTTGGCAAAGTCATGAAAGTCATCACGATTTTTGTACATGTGGATGTGTGGCCTATGTTTACGGAGGCAGTCCAGTAAATAGGCCACATTTATGGGGCTAGGCGCGCTGAATCGCAAGGCACAAACCGCGCAGGAAAATCATGGTTTCTATCCCAAAAATCCGTTCAAAATTGCAAAACGGGTGTCATTATAATTGAGGAAAAACTGCTTTGATTGTAAAGGTGATTTTTGAGCAATAAAAAAACAAACATTTTTGACTCCAATATGATCAAAACAAAACAGGGGCCCTACACTTCATGATCGCCGTAATTTTTCCCTAAATGACCTAAATCAGCCATCTGAAAGTGATATTTTGTCCTAAAAAGTCTAAATTAGCAGTGTCAAATTTTGAATTTTTACCGAGAAAACACTTACAAATTTTCAGAGCAGTCCCTTAGGGTTTGTGCACAGTGTGACAAGTGATGGCCAGGTATGGGAATCTTTCCCAATTAACATCAAAGGAAAGATTCCCATACACTGTATATGGCCATCACTTGCCACCCTGTGCACAAACCCTATGAGACTGGTCTGAAAATTTCTAAGTGTTTTTCTCAGTTAATACTTCAATATTTTCCTAGCTCTACTGAAAGGAACGCTGGAACTTCGGTACGCATTTTTCGTAAAAATTATTCACATTGCCAGGTTCATGGGCCGGTACGTATGGTAAACCTAGCCAACTGTTCAAACTGCAAAGTGGAACGGTTCCTGTGCCGTGCTGACCGGCCAATGTGGCCGTCCGTACATGGTGACATTGTTGCAGTTTGCCATTTTTCAACGGCATTAGAGACTTACTTGCAAATATTAGGCCTACTGATTTGAATTTTTACACTCTAAATATATTTCCAAACCAAACTGTGTATTTCTTGCTATTTTATTTTTGATTTTACGGATGATCCTGCGGTTTTCTGATGAACCATTGCGCTGCCCGAGAAACGATTGCTTGTCTGCAGTCCATCATGAATCGATGATGATGATGTCACTTCAAAAAGTCATAGTCGGTGATTTCGAAAGTTTACCTATGGAAAAAAGTCGGATTTAGTGATTTCAAAAGGTTACCTATGGCAAAAAAAAAAAAAACCTATAGGTTTCTTTAATATAATGTAAACTTTTAGAATTGATCAAATTAGGTTTTGCCCTTCACCGACGTATAAACACTGTATACTCAGTCTGTTACCTCCCGAGTGAAAGTTGGGAAAAATCAAGCCGGTGGGACTCGAACCCACGATGTCCAGTGCTTTCTAGTGCAGGTGTCTTACCACTCGACCACCGAGCTAACGGGATCTGTTGGCCGGTTCGATTTGAACTTTAGCAGTGGGTGCCGCATTAACTATTTATTGCCAAATCACCCAGTATTGCTGTTCCAATGTGCAAGGAAACAGGTCATCTGGTACCTTGGGCAACTCGTACCTTGGACAACTCATACATTTAATGTGACATCATTATGCCAACTCGTACCTTGGACAACTCGTACCTTCAATAAAGACGTCTCGTTCTATTACGTGTAAGTCAAGTCGTACTGAATCAATTAAAAGCACAGACTGCTCTTGCAATATGTGTTTTAATTTTGGTTATTAGACTTCGCAAGAAAACGAATGCAGGAAATACTTTGACAGTCACCATATGTGAAGATGAAATGGTTACTCTCTCCTATTCATCTCAACATTTATTTCCATATTTCAAAGAACATTCAGGTAACGGAAAGATTTTCATATACGAAGTTCACTAATTTTCCTCTGTATTGACTAACAAGCCCCCAGATAGCAATTTCATGTCATCAAAGTCAATTTGAGCAGTGAAAAAATACAAGCATTTTCTTAGAAAACACTTAAAAATGTTCAGTCCAATCTCATAGGGTTTGTACACAGGGTGTTGGGTGAACTTCGTATATGGAAATCTTTCCCAGGTAACTATACAAAAAGGTCAAGAAACGAATGTTTGCTAAAAATATGAGATTAATGATTATGTAAAGACACAACTGAAAAAAAGTAAATTTAGAGAAAGTAAATCTTTAAATTTGCTTTCTCTTATTTTGTCTCTGTTAAAAGCTCTGGATGAGAACGTCATAAGCTTTGAACTTGCTACCTTGGTACTGGTGCACACAGAATGCGCATTGGGCACTGAAGCATTATAAAAAAGTTTCCAAATATTCTTGAAGTAATAACTAACACTTCTTGGCAGCAATAATCCTTCTGTTTACAAAAAAAGACCACCCCACCCCCCCCCCAAAAAAAATGTACTTAAAGAAAACAAAATAAAAGTTTCAAAATATTCTCTAAAGGGTACAGTCCATCATTTGTAAATTGTGTATTTTATTCGTTTGAAGCAACAAACACGCTCAAAATCTAAAGAAGGGTACTGAACAACTAATTTGGTGAAGTTTCAGCTCAGCTTCAGCTGTAGGCCTACATTTCGAGTAAAACAACATTCTAGGATTTCGATTTCAAATCAAAAGATGCTGAATCTTGTTTTGAATTTGGCCTGAAATCAGTGTTGGAGACACGTTCTCACTGAGCTAATTGCAGCTACGCAATGTCACGCACTGATCTGATGAATTAAAACAACCGCGCGAGCGTGTGCATCGTGTCAACGCTGGCGCGCACTTCGCCAACTAAAAAAAGGAACTACTAACGGAAATTTCCAACCATGTGCCTTTAGATGCATCGTTGGAAAGGCCTTCTTTCATTGATTTCTTCCCAATGACAGCATGCCCAGAACAAATAATTTCACAGGGAGTTTTTGTCCCCTTACTATCTTTCAACCAAGTAGTTATTCAACACTAAATATAGTTTTGGATAGCTGCAAATGATGGACTGTAGCTTTAAATGATCACTTAAACTTCTTGGCAGCAATAACAAAATATTGAGTGCATACATGTATGTACATGTATATAGCCACGTTCATGGGTCTATATCAAGCCATATCTTATTTTTCTTCTGAAAACAACATAAGAATGTATACATGTCATCAATAGCAGCCCCAATGCAGTATACAAGGTAGAAAAGCCACCAAAATCATAATTTTTTTCATATTTTAGTATAAAGCATAAATAATGAAATGTCTCTCCTGAAGACAGTCAGAGCATACTGACCGGAACGTCGAGTTGATACCTCTGGTGCTTTTCAGAACCATTCTCTTAGTTGAGAAATTATTCTCCCATGGTGTTTCCGCAAACCTTTCATTATTTAGTATCTCCACCATGCAAAGCCTCAACTCTTACTTAGAAAGCATAATTCTGTTTCAAGTCGACCAAATGCTTCGTAAATGATTGCTGCATGGTGTGAAGTAAGCTTAATCTCATCTGGGTTTGGATAATAGGGGAAAAGGGAAAACTTTAGTATTTGCCAAATTTCAAGGCCTCCGCCAATTTTCAACTGCTGGACAAAAACTAGATGTGCCTCCAGCTCTACATATCAAATTCTTGATGAGCATTGGAGCTGGAGTTTCTCATCTCCATCCTTGTATTGCAAGTTTTCAATACCTTAAAATTTGGGACTCTCATAGACAGTATTGAGAGTCCCAAATGTTTGGACAACTATTGGAAAGAGTTCCACACCTGGACATCACTTGACACCCGGTGCACAAACCCTAAGAGACTGGCCTGAAAAATTTGAAGTGTTTTCTTCGTTAACGTTTCAATATTTTCCCTGCTAAATTTGACTTTTAAACATGTCATCCGTTTCTGATGGCTGATAGGTCACTGTGGGGAAATATTAGTGATGTGCATGCAATATGTATGGAATTCTTCCCCAACTATTTTTTCCCCAGCAGTCAGAAAATGACGGAGGCCATGAAAAATTGCCTCAACTGAAATTGTCCTTTTCCCTGATCCAAACCTAGTTGAGATTAAACTCACCTAAATACCATGCAGCAGTCATCACAAAGCAGAGGATCGACTTGAAACAGAACTACACTGGCTAAAATATGGGGAAACAATGATGATTTTGGTGGCTTTTCAGATAGAACCGTCGCGTCGCAGCCGTGTTGTGGCGACATTTACAGCTCGCATCTCATACTGGTATGGTATCCACATATACATGTACATCGCACTGCATAGAGACATGTACACGATATGGTTACCATACTATTTTCAGGTGCACGTTGTGATTTCAACTTCAAATACAACTGCTTTATGTGCAGTTTCTTTATATTTCCAGTGTGTTTTTGGTCCAACATAATAATACCAAAATGGATGAGAAGCAGGGACCAACTTTTGATGATGTCCCAACTGGGGAGGTAACGTCAACCACAGTTACAGAGGGTGATGTTTTCAAGATGCCAACAGATGTGGCCATCACTATGGATGCTATTCCCAATGAAGATGAGGAGGACAAATCCAAAGGTGACTTGTTATTCTTTTACTTGGTGAAGACGTTTGCTCCTTTGCCAGGTCAGCTAAGTGTAATCCCATTCATGTGATTTTGTCCATTCTTGCTTATTGGAAACTTAACACTTTAACCCAGTGAAATTAATTTTGCTGCAAAATAGTTTAGTTGCTTTCCGGGTAAGTTTTTTAAATTGGGGGAATGAGGGTTCAATTTCATAAAAAAAATTGCACCTTTACTTGGTACTTGGTACTTGGTGGTTATCCTGAATACTCCATGTGGAAGTCTAGCAAGGAGGCCTTGGGGAATTTGAACTAAATTAAATCCTTAAAGGTGTTGTGGTTTGGGGCGTCTATGGTGTCTTGAGGGAGCTTGTTCCATTTCCGGATAGTTCTGGGTAGGAATGACTGCATATAGATGTCTGTCTTTGCTGCAATTTCTGTGAACTGGTAGTTGTGAATTCTACGAGCTGGTGCTGGTTTGGGGACTATGGATGATGAGTTAATGTGAACTATGTTGTGTATTATTTTAGTAGGTAAGTAGGTAAGTTCGTTAATTTTCCTTCTCTCTTCCAGTGAAGACCAGCCTAGGGTTGTCAACATGTTGGTCACACTGCTCAGTCTGGAACAATCTCACATTACGAAATGAGCAGCCCTCATCAGTTGCACTTTTTCCAGGAATGTTATGTTATTAGCTATGTGAGGGTTCCAAGCAATGCTGCCATATTCTAGGTGTGGTCTGACTACTGCTAGGTACAGCTTTTCTTTGACTGATCTGGATGCAGAATGAAAATTTATTTTGATGAAGTTCAATATACGACTTGCTTTGGAAGTGGCATGTGCTGCTTGGTGATTCCAACTTAGGTTATTCTGAATGATTATTCCCAAATATGTCATGTTGGTTTTCTCTACGAGGTTGGATCCTAACATGGTGTCGTTAGTTTTGCCGGGGGCCCGCTTCCCGGAGATTCACATGATGTTACATTTGCTGGAGTTAAATTTCATTCCCCAGGTTTGCACCCAGTGAGCCAAGTTGTCCAGGTCTTTTTGGAACATCAGTTCATCAGTTGATGAGCAGATCTTCCGATATAACAGGCAGTCGTCAGCGAAAAGGCGAGTTGTGCCAGTCACCGATTTGCTGATGTTGTTGATGAAAAGTAAAAACAGGTGGGGGCCAAGCACGGTGCCTTGTGGTATGCCACTGTCGACACTTTGCCATTTCAAAGATTTTCCATTTACCACAACTCTTTGTGACCTGTTGGTTAAGAATTCCCTGATCCATCTCTGTGTTTTTCCCCTTATCCCGTAGTAGTCTAATGTTTGGACCAGTTTTTGATGAGAAACTATGTCGAATGCTTTGGAGAAGTCAAGTACTGCCATGTCTGTGGTGATTTGTTACGAGTTGGGATTTGCAGGACAGGCCTTTACGAAAAGCATGTTGGTTTTCGTTCAGGATGTCGTGTTCCTGGAGGTGTTTCATTTATTGGCTATCAATGATGTGCTCTAATAACTTAAAGCAAACAGAGGTCAACGACACAGGTCTGTAGTTTGCCGGGTCCGCACGAGAGCCTTTCTTAAAAATGGGTGTTACGTTGGCTTTCTTCCAGTCAGATGGAAGAGAACCCAGGTCAAGTGATTGTTGGAATATGAATGCGAGTACTGGGGCAACTTCATTGGCAACTAGTTTCAAGTTGAGCGACGTCAGTAACTTGAGGACTCCTCTAACAGACACGGTGATGTTTGTCAAGTCTGGGTAGGGACTCGGTGGTAGAACTGGCTGCACATCGGTGTCATCCCTGCTGAAAACACTACAGAATTGGTCTTGTAGGGTTTCAGCTTTTTCTTGGTCAGATGTGATATTTTTCCCGTTGAGTTTTAGAATCTGAACCCCTGTGTTGTCTTTACGAGTGCTGTTTATGTAGCGCCAACATTTCTGGGGGTTACCTGTAGATGTACAGTAGTTTCTTGTAAATGTGTGCGTTTAGCCCTTCGGATTTCGCTGTTCACTTGCTTTTGCAAAAGTTTGAATGTAGACCGCTTGTTACTGCCTTCACATAGCTGCGCTCTTTCTTCCTGCAGCAACGGATTAGGACAGTAGTGAGCCATGAGGGTCTAGAATGTCCCTGGACTGGTTTTTGTGGTACTAATTCGTTAGTTTTCAGCCTGTCCCTAAAAATACTCCAATTGCCTCAACTGTTCTGGTTTCCGGAGATGACTGCATGAATTCGGTCTTAAGCTCGAGGACAGATTTTTTCAGCTTGGATTCATCCACGTCATTCCACTTGAAGATGGTCCTAGGGGGCTTGACAGAGCGAGGTGTGGTGATGTTTATGTCAGCTAACACTGTTGCGTGATCACTAATTCCGGAGTTGCTGTAAACATTACAAACCAGAGTTGAACGTGTGGTGAAGAGCAAATCGAAGATGTTATCTGTTCCTGTAACTGGGTCTCTCCTTGTAGTAAAATTTGCCTTTTGTTCGAGATTGTAGTCATCTGCGATGTTGATAATTTTGGATTGAATACCGTTTGCCGAGAAAGTACATGTACCAGTCCTTGAGTTCCAAAGCATGCCTGGGATGTTGAAGTCTCCTCCAAGAATGATGAATGGGGAGTTTACCTGAGCCTGCAATTTACTCAGACTTCTGTCTAGGTTTTCTAGAGATTCTGGCCTGTAGGAGTCGGGGGCTCTATAATATGCAGAGATGAAGATGTCCTCTCCTTTCGGCTTGAGCGGTAGTTGGCACCCGAGTAATTCACAACCATCTTCAGAAAGTTCAATGGCTGAGAAACCATCCTTAACCAAGATAAAGACACCTCAGCCACATCTGTCGTTTCCTCTGTCCTTGAACCTTCGTTCAACTGTCAAACTTGTGAATGTCTGATGAATGAATGCAAAGTTTACAAAGCCATTCATATCTTAAAACATTCATTCCTTTATAAAGCCCTGTCCGCACTGGACTCTTTTTGGTCAAACTTACCAAGACTATGGGTACTTTTCCCATTTTAAGTCCAGTGCGGACAGCCTAGGACGTTTTCCTCTCAGTTACTTTTCCTGAGTCCAGCGGTTACTTTTACTGGCCAACTGCTGCCCAGGAAAACTGATCACGTGCCCAGGAAAATTGACCAGGTCACTTTTCCCGAGACGATAAGTCCAGTGCGGACAGTGCGAGTCGGTAAAAGTGGCTCCGGAAAGTGACATCCGGCCCGAGTGCGAGTATCATGCATACAGAAACAGCACGATCCCACACGTGATGTGGCCGAACATTTTGTGGAAACACGTACGCTGCGGTGTGTCAAGTCCGAGTGGTAAAATCTTGTTATAAATATATTTTAACGGAGAATACATTCACAGAAAATATCAAGATCACCTTCTGGGAAATACTTTGCAGTTATTCTTTTTCTCCACCAATGTTTGTTTTGTATTTTCTACGATCCAATTTCGTCCTGTTACGCCGTGTAGTCTGCATGGCACCGTACGTAGGCCGCAGTCCCTGGTTCCGGTCCTACAGTGTACATCATAGCTTTGATTCTGTTAGCATGCGGTGGGAACCAGCGATTACCGATGGAACTGCTGCCGCATGGCTTCGATGTCGTCCATCACAAATGCGTCAGAATAGTAGGCATTTTCGTCAAGATTTATCGTGTCAAGATGAAATAACATCGTATGTTACGATTATATTGTGCATTTTAATGGTGTGTGTAATATTATACTGTGCGTATCGGGGGCTGAAAAAAAATGTGATCGGCATTTTATTTCCTGTGCGCGTGACTGTGACAGCTCGGTCACTTCTCCCACACGGTCTGGGTAAAATTTCCCGTGTCGAAAGTCCAAGTGCGGACAGTGGTCACATTTGACCATTTCTCATTTTACCATCGTCTCGGTAAAACCTTCCAAAAAAAAAGTCCAGTGCGGACACGGCTTAAGATGGAATTTTGCGTTGTGAGTGATTTTTTTCCAAATTTCACTCGGAAGGTACCACACTGAGTATACAGTGTTTATACGTCGGTGCAGGGCGAAACCTAATTTGATTCATTCTTTGTTTGATTAATACAAAGCCCATTAAAAAGGCAAATAAATATATCAAAATATTATGAGGCATCAATAAAGTATCAAGTATCAGAAAAGCATACTAGTTCAAATACCAGAATGGTGATAGTACATAGCATTATTTGTGCTTGGCAGTTTTGAATTACGCACACAAAAACAGCAGCTTGTAGAAATTGGTCATTTTTGGGAACCGTCCAAATTAAGATATTTATATATAGGTTTATCTCTAACTTTACAATGAGGTTCGTATTTTAAAGCATTAATCTTTTTTCAGGTACTGTGTACAATTGTTGTACATCTATATTAACAGTATTCAACTTTGGGATGTTTCTTATTCAAAATTTGCAATTCATTGATCTGTTTGTCAGTGTGAACTGATTTTGTTGTGCAGTGTCTCACTTAAAAACTCACAATTAAACTTACAAATATCTCATGCCTAAAATAAAATCAAAGTCAACTTATTTTCTCTGATTGGAGTTGGTCTTTTAATTTGTTTGTTTTTGTGCATCAGGTCTTGACCCACAAGATAACCATTCCACCAGCACCTCTGACGTACCAGTGACTGGGGCTGCCATGACGGATCCTTATCACTATCTGACGCAACAGCACTTCACCTTAGAGATCTTCAAGATTGAGATCCAAAACCTCCCAAGATATTTTGGATTTGCGGTGAGTTTGCTCTCTATGCTTTCAACTCTCGATAATGATAATACAGTTTGTGCTCTGTTAAGAGTTCATAATGTTTTCCATGGTGAAGATTTCTCAGGGTCTTTTTGTAATTTTGTTTAACAGAATTTAAAGGCAATTGGATAAATTTCACTACAACCTGGAAATATCCTAGCCTCATGTCTATATGAAAGTAATGGTAAACTGCATGTACATGTAGAAAGTTGTAATCTTTTTTCCAGTGCACTTTTTACAGTGCCCGTACACTTTAATAGTTGTTTCTTCCGTTGCTGTGATATCGCTTTAGGTATTTCACATTTACAGCTTTGTGATTTTCTGTGTAACTTGTGAAACTAGAATTCATTGCATTGCAGTTTGTTGTTAAAGTATCTGACTGACTGCCTGTGCCTCGTGCACAATGAACAAACAGTCACATCAACCTCAACCAGAACACTTTGTAACTTTCCGTCCTTAAACAGCAGTGACACTGAAGTTCCAGCTCATGACATCACTGTATTGCTCATGAATATGGAACTTGGCACTTTCTTAAAAGTATTTTAAAGCCTGGAGCATCGTAACCCTTCATCAACTAAAAACCTCAAAATCTGTTTCAAACACATTTTAAATATCTGCAGTGGAAAATGTAGGGTTATACTGTACAAATGTAGATGTTTGTGCCAATTCATGTATATTTTCACACAGACAAAGCTTAAAAACAAACTTGCTCATTTAAACGCACACAAAAACCTCATTCAAGTAACATTTAACGTGTCCATAAGTATGCAGTTTTGTAATCCATTTGCCTAGACGATCATTTTCAAGTATTTCTGAACCAAGAATGTAAGATTTGCTGTGATCTGGCAGATGCAAGATAGGCGCAGATACAAGTGGCGCTTTCAGCGTGCTCAATGCATGTTCCTGTGCCTCTTCCCATTTCACATGATTTGGTTTTCCTTTCTTAGTCAGATCGGAAAAGTTCGGAATGAATTTGCAATAGTAATTAACAAGGCTTATAAGTGATCGAACTTCCTTTTTCATTCGTGGACAAGATGCATTCAGGATTTTTGTGATCTTTTCCGTCTGTGGCTTTACAACACCGTTTCCTACAATGTGCCCTAGAAAATCAAGGAAATCATATCCGGCCATAATTTGCCTTGCGCAAGGGGTTCAAAACATCTTGAATTGTTTCGATGTGTTGTTCCCAAGTATCCGTGTATATTAGAATATCATCAATGAAATTCACGACATGCTGTATGTTTTCCAGCAATTTTCTCATCATGCGTATGAAAGTAGCCGGTGCATTTACCGTTCTGAAAACTACAAATGTATTTACTTTTTGAGGAGATTTGCGTGAAATGTGTGTGGCTTAGGCCAAAAAAAAAATATAGTTCTGCTTCCGATAACATGCCTTTCAAAAATAGGGTCGGTCGGTCGGAATTTTTTTTTTTTTTGCCAATTTTTTTATGCAGATTGAATGGGGTATTCAATTATATGCGAAGTTTTAGCCTGAACTATTTCTATTGCACTACGAAAGCTATACATGAAATGGCAACAAAAAGTGAGTAAAACCTACCTTTAATTATTGTCAATATATTAACGTTCGATAATTTCAAAAAATAATGGAAAATTCAGGCTGTTCGCACCATATGCACAACGCTAGTCAAGACGCGGGAAGCTGGCCAAAACTCCGAGGTGTGTGATGCGTGCGTGTGTGGCGAGCGGCCCACCATGGGCCGACAGACCTGTTTTTAAGGTCAACAATTTCGGGAAACACGCGGCATGTATCACTCCAAATACGAGTAGTGCGATCTCAAAATGAACTTTTGAACACAGAAAATACATGCACAGACAAGCTAGATCAATTCTGTAAACTAACTTGCAAAAATGTTCTTTCTCCATCGGTGTTTTCTTGGCATTTTTACGATGTCGAATCCGACCAGTTGACAGTGGCCTGCACTGTACTGATAGCACACAATCGGTCACATAGCTAGCTATGGACTGGTTACCATTTTCATTATGTCTTCTAAATTGGCCCCTGCGCGGCGCAGCGGGAACCAGTCGTCGCCACGTGATTAGAGTCACCGTGCGTGACATCGGATTGCGAAGTAGTTATATGGCGAGGCGAATTTGTAATAACGGAGGTTTCTTTTGAAAAAAAGCGAATGTAAGTAAGAAAACAAATAAATACAAGCATATTTGGATGCAAAAGGGTTGTTGAGAGGTATTTTGTGAAGACAGAAAAAGACAGATTTTATTTGTATTTATTCAATTTTTGTGTGTGTGTGTGTGTGTGTCGGGTCGGTCGGGTAACCGGAAGCAGAACTATTCTTTTTTTTGGCCTTACTGCTCATCTCAATACAGTTGTCGTGTTGTGCAACTTTTCGTAATACAGGAAATGGCCCTTTCCATTGCATGAGTCATTTGTTCGCGTCAGTTGGCATAACAACTAATACTTGGTGACCGGTATCAAACTTTTGATCTCAAGTACGCGCGTCGTAGTATTTCTTATAGCTAGTACTGGACTTCGCGAGTTCTTCTCAAGCTAGTTCGCAAGTAGACTCTAGCCGTTCACACAAGTCTATGACATACTGGTAAGTTGTCTTTACCTCTTTATCTAATTTTTCTCCAGTCCATAACTCTCTGAGGATAGTAAGAGGACCTCGTACTGAACAACCGTACTGTACATGAGCTCAAAGGGAGAGTAGCCCGTGCTCTCTTGCGGAGATTCTCAATACGCGAACAACAGCGCAGGGATATACCGATCCCAATCACGCAGACTCTCACTGCACATGCGCCTTAACATTCGTTTCAGTGTACCGTTGAATTTCTCAACAAGTCCATTACAGATTGGATGGTAGGGTGTAGTTTGCAGTTGTTTCATTGACATAAGTCTGCCTATTTCTTTCATTAGATCGGAGGTGAATTGTGCGCCCATACCTGATAGCATTTCATTTAGATCATTGGAGTGAAGATTTCAAACAACGCTTCCATTACGCGTTCTGTTTCAATAGGGCTACGGCTTCCGAATAGCGCGTTGCATAGTCGACCAAAGTCAGAATGTGAATTGGTCCTATCAAGTCTACGGCTACTCGTCTAAACGGCGTATCAATTAAAGGTATTCTACCTACATGTAGAGTAACCGTGCCGACACGACCTTTCGCGACCGTTCTTTGGCATATGTCACAGGAAACGCAGTATCTTCTGATATCGCCTTGCACGCCTGGCCAAAAGAAATTTGCAAGTACGCGGTCTTTTGTTTTCTTGATACCAAGATGCCCTGCCATGGTGGAATTGTGTACATGCTTCAATACCATAGAGTGCATTTTCTTTGGGAGTACCAACTGTGTGATTACACAATTTTGTCTGTCGACGGTGAAGCGAATTCATGGTAGAGTAATCCGTCCGTTCATGTTGCGCTTTAATTATTTACGTACGAGATTCGGAGAGATTTTGCACTTCGGGAACTTTAAGATGACGCAAGTTCGTGACTTTCTTTAGCTTTTGCGCTCTTGTCTCAACTGCAGCTGTTTTCTCGTCGCGAGGGCTTTGGCATTTCTGTTCCGGTGTGTCATTTCGTTTACCTGACCAACTGGGATCAGGATCACGTGGGTCTCTAACACCTGTTATGTTTCCCTATAATATCGTACAAGGGATTTGGCATACACCATGCATTCACGGTTCCTACAAAATACAGCGAATCTATTTCAATACGCGCAACTGAAACATTCCGTGTACTGTCTAGAAGAACACACTTTTGTTTTGGCTCCAACATTTGTTCCTTCTACTAAACTCTGTTTGACGACAACCGTACTACATCAGCTATCACGCAGAACCTTAATTAACCGTTTCGTTGCCCTACTGGAATTTGATTACCGATTGTACACGTGACACTAATCATGGGGACTTCATGCCCACAAGACAGTTTCAAATTTTCTCCTATTTGACCTGCACATTCGCATAGTGCAGGCCTCGATCTTAGGCAAAAAAAGGGGCAGGCCACTTTGGCCTTGCCCCCATCAAAATTCCACAGGGCGCCAAGGCCAACTCAAGGGGGCACCAAGGCTCATCATTTCAAAACCTTTAATTTACATTTATTTACAGCCAGTGTACACACGCCTATTTTCTAGGTCACATAAACAATCTCAGAGTATTCAGTTCTCGTACAAATGTACACCATGTCCAAAGAGCTTCGTTTCCGATTTCGCTTTATCGCTTGTAGCTTTTAATGTTCTGATCAAATTTTTAAATAAATCGCTTTCTTTGTAATATAATACAGTTGATGTTTCTGTAAGATAACATTTGACTAATGTTGATCTGGAATCTTCAAACTTAGGCACCCAAATAGCACTGTTAGCAGGCGGAGCCGAATGAAGACCGAGTTTTGGAAAATCTCGGTAACGGTCGCCAAATTCAAAATTGTACATAACACAGCAAAAAATTCACCCATACGATCCCAGTATATTTGACGCACAGTTTTCTCTAAATGAAAGCAATGAATATGAATTATCAATTGTCGGCGAAACTTCAGAAATTTTCGGAAAAAGGAGGAATTCCTCCCGTTTTAGTCATGTGACGTAAATTGTAATACAATGTACATTTTGTATTACTGGAGGCTATCGGACCTAAGATTCATCAGGAATAGTCAGAAATCTTTTGGTCTGGGAACCAGACTAGCTTATCGAGCCGCATTCGGAGCCGCCTCAACCTCCTCCTCATGGGTTTCAACCTCCTCCTCATGGCGACCAACTCGCAGTTGCATTTTGTCCAAACATTGCCTTGCGCGATACCCATTGAGACGAGGTTGAGACGGCTCCGAATGCGGCTTGATAAGCACAGACCCGCCAACCTTTGGGATCAAAAAACTGTATTCTGAATCTCCAAAAATTGTGTTTTTCATTACAAAACTGTATTTTTCAAAAATATGCATAGACGGGCTATACGAACAAATAAATGTGGCTGCAATGCTCCATTTTTAATACATCTTAATTAAAGTTATCAAAAAA